TATATATATATATATATATAATACGCACTTCGAGGAAAATACGCTACACGAGTTTAAGGTTTATCTAGATGTGAAGGAAAAATACCCAGTGCTGATGCAAAAGGCACAGTCTCGAGAGATAAACCAGACAAAGTGGACGCGGAAAATAACATCGGAGAGCGTGGATCCGCTCATACTTGGAGCAGTAAAACAAGCGGCGGGTGTATATGCTACACAGAATTCCCCGAAGTCAATGATTAATATTGCAAGGCAGCTCCAGGAAGCTCAACAATGTTATGAAGACATGACGAGGCGAGACAAGAAGCCATCGGAGTGGAAATCAAGCATTGAAAAGAAGGTAAGCTTGTTGAATTACCACAAATCCCTCACAGAACGGAATTTGGCTGATGAAAAACTGGGAGGCAGAGAATTGAAAGAGGCCAAGAAGTGTATGAGGGAGATGAATCTCATACTTGCTCTTAAGCGTGACTGTCATGAAGCGTTAAGCATATTGACAGACCGTGTGAGAGCTTACGAAAGTAAAATAAAGTTATGAGACCCGATGTGCGTTCAAAATACAAAACGCCAGATTCGAGCTGTTCAGGCGACGGTTGTATAGTCTGACTGAAGAACAGCTCGTAAGCACTGAGGAAATGATGAAGGACTGAGAAAATGATGACTGAGGAAATGATGGATTTTTGGGTACAATGTGGAACTCTGGAATAGGAAAGTATGATAATATCCAACACAACGAATTTCTGGAAGAATTCGTTCCAGGTGATGAAGTCTCTCTGAAGCTGAATTTCAGAAGATAGTCTCTTATTTACCCAATTGGAAAGCCGTAGAGACTGATGGAGTTTACAACTTCTTTATTAAGAAATGCACCTCCTTGCACTCAGACCTGTACAAAATAGTAAGGATTTGTCTGGATGGGGAGGAACAGGATCCGTGGTCCTATAAAGGTACTACCTGCCTGATTCCAAAAGGTGTCCTAAGTAAAGGCAGCGACTTCAGGCCAATAACTTGTATGTCGAACCTTCACAAGTTAACAACGAAATGTGTGGCCCGCGTTATGTGATTAGATTTTTCCATGAGAAAGCTGCTTGCAGACAACCAATTATGAATTATTACCCAGGTTCAAGGTTCGAAGAAACAAGCAATGTGGAACCTAGCAGTTTGCAAAGAGCACGAGAACCAGCTTTACACTACGTGGTATGCCATTAAAAAAGCTTCCGATTCAGTTAATCACGGATTACCTGACTAAATGCATTGAAAGGCTTAACATGCCACCGTGGGTCAGCAGGTTTCTGAGAAGCATCACCTCCAGATGGTTGGTTACATTGAAAAGCAATAGAGAAACAATAATGGAGACGAAAATATGAGGAATTCTCCAAGGTGATAGCGTCTCTCAGCTGCTATTCA